CCCTCTTAGAGTCTTATGGAAGCTTTAGCTGCATGCTATTTGCTGGAAAAGAGCTTCCCCTCCTTCCCCCCGCCCCATACAACCATAACTCAGACAAAGCCAGTATTGTTCCTGCATACCACCTTCTTACAGGGCTCAGTATGGCTGTGTGCTCTCCTAACACAGCCGGACACAGGCAAACTGTGAAAACTGCAGGCAGCGCTCTGCTCTCTGCAGGACTTGCTGTGTCAGTTCGTACGCATCCTGCTGGGTTGGAGCTGGCTCCAGTCCAGCCAGCTGGAAATGCAGGCGAGCACAAGTTTATTAGTAAAAAAACTGGTTCAGCGTCGTACCAAATATAAACTGGTAAGTCCACGTGTAGTTTTTATTTGGATTTAAAACTGATTAACTGTGATTTTTATCAATGCTAAGGCCAAATATCTCATGGTGATATTTGTGATCTTTCCTGCGTTAAAAAAAAGAGATAAGCATAATTTTCATAAGAATATTCAAGACTTGGAACCATATTAAAATCTCATAGATTTTTTTATAGAGGAGAATTGGGCTTTTTTTTAAAGGCTGATTGGCAGTGTTATGTTGAGTTTTCATTGTTAGCAATTGTTGCCTTTTGCAGACTTTTTTTTAAGTACCAATACCAAGCAGGGAACAGGAAGGTGACTGTCTTATGACTGACTTTACTGGAGTCAAATGAAATAGTTGCTATAATGTTAAGGGATATCTTAGCAAGCCAGCCCTCTACTCGTCCATGTGTCTGTCATGTCTGTGACCCATCCCCTTATGTTCTCTGTGTGTGTGTGTGTGGTGCGTGTGTCCCTCGCCTTACACTGGTATTGGCAGTAAAATGGTTTTTTGTCGTTGACATTTCCATAATGTGTAACTTTTGGCAATTGTGTTGTCTCTTCTGTAGAGGGCAGGTCAGTGAACTGTGTTATCATTTATCGCAGACAGTGGCCATGAGATAAAGGCAAACCCTGACTTTAAAAATAAATAAATAAATAAACCCGCAGAAAAAAAACTAAACCAGGCAACCTGACCCTATTCTGACAAAATCCTGAGGGAGCTCAGGCTGGCTGTTACCAGAGCCGCTTTCTTTGCTTCTAGGCCTGTTGTGGATCAAGATGCTGCTGTGTTTAAGAACATGTTCCCGCTGCCTTTTTATAAAGGTATTTCTGGGACATAGGAAAATTTTGGTTCCAGTCTCCTGAGAACTGAGTTCAGAAATGGAAGTGGTGTCCTGTTGTGTGGTTTTTGTTGTTGATTTTGTGGGGAAAGGTAGCTGCACTTACAGTAGATGTTAAAATTTCGGTTATGCTTCTCCCTCCCAGGATTTTGAGGAAGGATGTTTTCTACTCACAAAATGTGATGCCATTCAAACAAGTCAACAGGAAATCTACCCTACCGACAAAGGAAGTGTTATAGTATCTTTCTTGTCAGCTATGTTCAAACCTTTTGTGGAAGGTTATCAGGTATGTTGTTCTTCAGAAAATTATCTTTTTTTCTACTGTGTTTTATAGGAGAAACCAGGAGAGCTGTGATACTTCTGCACTATAAATAGTGACTGTTTTGTGGCTGGAGCGTGCAAGAGTTGAGAAATAGCAGTAATAAATATCTTAAACACCACCTTCTCCCCAGGATCCTGATTTTTAGCTTTTGGCTCAGACTTTTCCAATTGACTAAAGCAGTAACTCCCTTGTAATGTGGTGGCCCGTTGTGGGTTTATAAGCTTAACAGGGAGCGTGCTGCTTACCAGGTTCATTGGTCTTGCTTAATTCATTTTATGTAGGCTGTCCTGCCAGGTGCAAAAATGAGTTTGCATGTCATATCTGATAGCTTTTTTGGGAGTCATTAATTGCATCCATATCTCTTTAAATTCTTTTGGGTTTCCAAGGTTTCTAATAAGACTAAACACTTTCATTCTTGTAATAAGCGATGTATACAAAAAACAGGAGGCTAAAAATCTCAGCTATGTCTGTGTAAGATTGGTGGGACTGTAGGCATTTGAACCTAGTGGAGTCTGGTGTGTGATGTGGGCTGAATTCCACTGATTTGCCCAGTTTTTACCATCTGTAAAACAGGTATTGCTTTAAAAAAAATTATACTGTTTTTGTTTGTGAGAAGAGGAATGTTAAATTAATGTCTAAGGTAACTATTATAGTAATACTGAACCTTATTTTAATATCAGGATTCTCGTGCTTGTGAAACAGTAATAAAAATTTCAGAAGCTCTGTGTAATGATACCTTTTGAGTTCCTCTCCTACAGTTTTCAAAGTGGAACAGGATTACTGACTTATGAGGGCACATCTGTTTGTAATTCATAACAAGCTGACAATCAAAAGGAAAGAAGTGCTAATTTTTTTTAAAATGTTAGTTAATTTTTAGATACCTCTCAAAGGAAACAAAAGAAGCCTTTACGGAGAAGCAGTTGATACCTGGAGTCCGCAACTTTGTTTTTCAACTTCTTGAGAAGGGTGTGTACAGCCATTATGCAATAAGGTTTTACAAGTGTAGCTGTTAATAGACAGTGATAAAACTTTTAATTGTGTTTCTGCTTTCTCTGTAGGGAACACGCAGTGTTACGAAGCGCTGTCTTCTGACATGCAGAAAAATGCCTTAGCAGCTCTTGTGCAACTAGGTGCAGTGAAGAAAAAGAAAATGTAAGTAACATTGGCTTTTTGGTGTATAGAAGTCAGCGTGTGGTCTTGCTGGCAATTCTTAATGATTGAGCTATTAGTAAGAAGCAGAACAGCAGAACCCCGACTGCCCGAACACCAGTCAACTGAAGGTTGTTTGGATTTACCTGAGTCACAGTGAAGACCCAGGTAGTTCCTTTCTGTATACGTTGTAGGAGCAGAATGGCACCCTGTCACAGTGGAAACACTCCTGTGGGACCCAGCAACAAAATTCATTAACTCACTAGCAGGCTGCTTCTGCCTCCCTTTACCTTTTGGTTTTCAAAGTTTCTCCCAAGGCTTTGATAAGCAAAGAGAACAGTCCTGCTTATTTTTAATAGAAGGGTTACTCTGTGTGTTAGAATGAGCCTCATCAGGCAATGTAAGCAATACGGAGATACTGCTGATTTTGGGGGGGCGGTTCAGCACTGATGTCTCAAAGCAATTTAACTGAAAGCTTAGTCATTAAAGTCTTTTAACACAGTTCATAGTTTATAGGCCTAAGACTAAAAAGCAGCTATTGTTATAAAAAAATACAGTGACATGCATTTCCTGTTACCAAATTAATTTGTGTTGTGGTCCTTCTTACTGTATTTAAAAGTATAACCATGGAAGTCCCTGATACAAGTCCCCACATTCTCTTGAGTGTTTCACAGAATGTAGTTGGCAGCTGATGACCCTGAGCTATTTTCTTATGCCCTGTTCAGGAAATGGATTGGTTAAGGTTTGTAGTGCTCTTGGAAAGTGCACAAAGTACTGTTGTTATGTCCCCTGCCCTCTCACAGTGCTAAATAGATGTGTATAGCTAAATTCCCCTTTCAAGTAAAAGGAAAAAATCAATTGAGTGCAACAGAATTTGACATCAGCTGAAGATCTGGTTCAGTTTCAGCAAGATAGTAATGAAAATTATATGATTGAAAACATACCAACATTCTTTTCCTGCAGTTGTCCCTAATAAAAATCAAGGGAAGAGAGAAACATGGGGACTGTGAACAAGGGGAAGGCTAAAGAAACCATAACTGTCCTTGAGTACAATCTGCTTAGAAGTCTGCCATGTCCTTAAAATTAATATGTATGCTGGTAGGATGAAAAACATGATGTAGTTATGAAAATGTTTAATTTGGATTATTTGTATAGCAATGACTGGAATAAGAAATATTCATTCAAGAGACAGGTGTTTTTTCTTTCAACCGTAGGTCCAATGGATTCACTTACAATGTAAATCAAGAGGCGGTTAATAAAATCCTGGACATGTTTGGTAAGTGTTCTCTAATTAATTTGAAGAGAGCTTCTCAAGTTATAAATTACTTTGGACAATACACGTACGTTAGATATAGTGATTTTTCCCTAGTAGTTCCTTAGATTTATCTGTATAAAAATCCTAATTTTTTTTTTTTTTTTTTTTTTTTTACAATACTTTCTCTGGTGTCATTGACTGCAGCTTTGAATCTCCCTACTTTATTTGAAATAGCGTGCAACCCAATGACCAGGGAAAATAAAGCAAGAAGTAGTTTAATGGAGTGGTATTTGCAGCATTTTGATGATGAGTGTTTACTGGTTTGTTTTTTGGGTTTTTTTTGCGTCAGACGCCAGGATACCTGTACAGAAACCTGTAGCCGCACGGCTTTAAGCGGTTCGTGATGCTGTGACTGGATATAAGCGCCTGCCGAGAACGCCGACCACCACCCAGCCGGAGCAGGGACCCACAGGGAGGCGGAGGGAGAGGTGTTCTCCCTCACCGCTTAGAAACTGCTGCCGCCGAGGGTTTAGAGCTGTATTTGTATCCTCACTGTGTATTGTTTTTTATAACAGATTAAGCATCAGTTTTGGGGGTTTTTTTTTGATAAATATTTAAAGAGATGCGCACAGTAACGGCTACTTAAATATGTTTTTCTAGACTTGTAACAAGGAATGTGATTGGTTTCAAATATTTCATGGATGTGAAAATATAACAGGGACTTAGAAGACTTGCTATTAAAGTTAATGTTTAGAAAAATACATTGCTGGCTGGCTAAATGTAAGATAAGGCCCTTACGAACGAAGAGCACGAATCAAATCTTGCGCAATGGCCACAAACGCTAATTGTGCTTCTTTTTTTTTTTTTTATTTTAAGGCAACTTGGCATTAATTACTTTACGAATGTTCTATTTAAAAACTGAATTAAAGCAGCGTCTTCAACGTGTCTGTTATCTCCCCCCCCGTGCCCTAACTGCGCTGTCCGCCCTTCCCGCCTTTGCCCTGTGAGGAAACCGAACCGCAGGCACGCGGGGGGAAGCGGCGGGGGGCGGCCGCTTCCGGCGCGAGGCGAAGCCCCGCCCTTCCGGCGACAACATGGCGGCCGGCGTGGAGCTGGGCTTCGCGGCGGCCGCGGCGGGGGGCGGCCGGGCTCTGGCGGTTGCGCAGCGCCTGCTTCCCCAGCAAGGTCGGGGGTCGGCCGGCGTGGTTGGGCGAAGCCGGGTTGCCGGGTCCCGCCGCCCTTCGCTGCGGCCGTTGTCAGCAGCCCTGCGCCTTCCTTCTCCAACTCTACGCGCCGCTGCCCGACCGCCCCGACGCCTTCCACCGCACCCTCTTCGTCTTCGCCTGCCGCGGCGCCGCCTGCTACCGCCTGCCGGGCCCGCGGGGGCCGCTCTGCGGTGAGGCGAGGCGG